TGTGTTCAATGCGCAGAGAAAACTAAAGCAGTTACTTTTTTTTTTTTTTTTTTCATTTTTCTTTTATTATTCATATGTGCATACAAGGCTTGGTTCATTTCTCCCCCTGCCCCCCCCCTCCCTTACCACCCACTCCCCCCCTCCCCTCCCCCCTCAATACCCAGCAGAAACTATTTTGCCCTTATCTCTAATTTTGTTGTAGAGAGAGTATAAGCAATAATAGGAAGGAACAAGGGTTTTGCTGGTTGAGATAAGGATAGCTATACAGGGCATTGACTCACATTGATTTCCTGTGCGTGGGTGTTACCTTCTAGGTTAATTCTTTTTGATCTAACCTTTTCTCTAGTTCCTGGTCCCCTTTTCCTATTGGCCTCAGTTGCTTTAAGGTATCTGCTTTAGTTTCTCTGCGTTAAGGGCAACAAATGCTAGCTAGTTTTTTAGGTGTCTTACCTATCCTCACCCCTCCCTTGTGTGCTCTCGCTTTTATCATGTGCTCATAGTCCAATCCCCTTGTTGTGTTTGCCCTTGATCTAATGTCCACATATGAGGGAGAACATACGATTTTTGGTCTTTTGGCCAGGCTAACCTCACTCAGAATGATGTTCTCCAATTCCATCCATTTACCAGCGAATGATAACATTTCGTTCTTCTTCATGGCTGCATAAAATTCCATTGTGTATAGATACCACATTTTCTTAATCCATTCGTCAGTGTGGGGCATCTTGGCTGTTTCCATAACTTGGCTATTGTGAATAGTGCCGCAATAAACATGGATGTGCAGGTGCCTCTGGAGTAACAGTCTTTTGGGTATATCCCCAAGAGTGGTATTGCTGGATCAAATGGTAGATCGATGTCCAGCTTTTTAAGTAGCCTCCAAATTTTTTTCCAGAGTGGTTGTACTAGTCTACATTCCCACCAACAGTGTAAGAGGGTTCCTTTTTCCCCGCATCCTCGCCAACACCTGTTGTTGGTGGTGTTGCTGATGATGGCTATTCTAACAGGGGTGAGGTGGAATCTAGTGTGGTTTTAATTTGCATTTCCTTTATTGCTAGAGAATGGTGACATTTTTTCATGTGTTTTTGGCATTTGAATTTCTTCTTTTGAGAAAGTTCTGTTTAGTTCACTGCCCATTTCTTTATTGGTTCATTAGTTTTGGGAGAATTTAGTTTTTTAAGTTCCCTGTATATTCTGGTTATCAGTCCTTTGTCTGATGTTTAATTGGCAAATATTTTCTCCCACTCTGTGGGTGTTCTCTTCAGTTTAGAGACCATTTCTTTTGATGAACAGAAGCTTTTTAGCTTTATGAGGTCCCATTTATCTATGCTATCTCTTAGTTGCTGTGCTGCTGGGGTTTCATTGAGAAAGTTCTTACCTATACCTACTAACTCCAGAGTATTTCCTACTCTTTCTTGTATCAACTTAAGAGTTTGGGAGACCAGCTGGCTTTTAGACCCACTCTTTGTTTCTATTGACTGGGGATTGAATATGGGGTGGGCAAGTTGTCAAATCTAGGGCCTCCCTTTCTTACAGAATTCTGGTGTTTCCAAGAGGGAGAAATTGACCCTTGAACACTATCTAGAATTCAAGGGGCGACCTATTGACATCACCTCAGCTGACCAACTCTTGGAAGATCTGTGCTTTTAATGGAGAAGGGGCTCCTCGGTTTCTGCAGTCTCATGAATGCCAACATTTCCAGCATCCCTTGTCCTAAGAAGAATAAAGAGTTGGACCATAGAGATTGCCTGATGGAGCAAAGAGTGTTGGACAGAAACCGGGAAATTTTTCAGTTAGCTTCTCCCAGCAGGGCAAAGGAACAGGAAATAAGAGACCAGAGGATTTAGTGACCTAGAGCGCCAGAGAGTCTTAAGGCTGAAAATAGAGAAGCTGGTGGATGAGGGGAATCAGATGGCAGGAAATTTACAGGTTTATAACAGCCATGGGGGAATCCAATAAAATATGACAGTAGGTCCTCTGCCCTCAAGGAGCCTATGAAAAATTAGTTGGGGTCTAAAAATTAATATACTTGAAACAATTTGTAGTTTGCTACTAAACTGTGGTATTGACAAAAAATGTCTGAGAAGGGACAGATCGTGTGGGCTGGCATCCTCTGAGAGCTGAGTGGCTGAACAAGACAGTGCTCATTCGACCAAAGGACTTTATGCCCCAGCTACAGTGGCTACAGCTTTTTAAAGATGAGTGTATCTGAGTCTTGCCTGGTTTCATGGAGGAAGTATGGGGGAGGAAGCTTCATCATCACCATTTGTCAATCACCATTATCATCAGGAGTAAACATTTTTTGGACATCCCTCTCCAAGTTTACACTCCTGTTGGGGAGACAAAGCAAACACAAAAGGAATTGAAGGACTAATACAAGAGAGTGTGTGCCAATAGCATGAAGAAGAAATGAGGGTTGGGGCTGTGAGAGAAGGCCTCTTGGAGGAGGTTGTACTTGACCCTTGAAGGAAGGTTAGGGTTTGGACTAATGGAGAAAAGGGTGAAGGGGGCTATAAGTGGCATCAACAAGGCACAGAAGGTAGGAGTGAGCAGGGTGAATATAATAAGTGAGAAAACCTGCTGGACTGGAGCAAAAGGTGTATGGTAGGGTGGTGTGGGTGATTAATGTTTGAGAGAAGCAGGGTGGTGATTACAGAGACAGCCTTAGGTGGTAGATAAAAGGAGTCATTTTGGAACAAAATAGGAAGACATTGTAGATTTGTGTATTTGGGGAGTGGTAAAGGTATGGAGAAGAAGGAGGAGAGGCTATAAAAGAACAACATTGGGACTCTAGTCTCCCTATCATTGCTGTCCTGTGTAAGGGTGACTAACTCACCCCATCCTTGTGAAATGGAATGAGTTAGTCACCCTACCTGAGATCCACCTTGCAAATGGGTTGTTAAAGCAGCCCCAAAAGGTTCTGTACCTCATACTACTGGTGAAGAACCTCCTTTGCAATGGAATCTTCCAAGGAATCAACAATTGTTCTGAAGTTGTTCTCTACAGTGTCAACCTCCCTCATGAAACAGGAATGAAAAAGTATCAGCCTCCTAGCCCAGCTGCTAGCACAGGTGCAGACCAAGACTGAGAATCTGCATCAGAAAGCAACAACCTTTAGATGCTGAATCTGTCCCTGAATCAGCTCCCAGAAAGGGAGGCAGTAATTGAGGGAACCTCAAAAAAAAAAAAAAACCACAAATGACAAGACTAAATCTATCTTGAAGCTATCTTTTGGTGGCTGCCACTTGGCCACTTGTCACATATATTCTTTTAACTGACTTTTGGCAGCAAAAGGAGATTGGCACAGGCTCTGCTACATTGATATTATTACCAGGAAGCAGATGTTTTCTCTGGGGTTTAGAATTATGCAAATGAGGTATGAAAACAAAAGCTCAGTGTGGTGGGGGAAGATTGCACTTAAAAATTCAGGCAAATGTAAAAAAACAATAAAAAAAGAAAAAAAAATTCAAGCCCTTTAAGACACCCCTCTCAGTTTTTACTAACCGCTGTCTTAGCTCCTCGCCAGTCTATTTAGAACTTGGCATCTCTTCAGAACCTTTCAACTAAAGACCGGAAAGTTTATTCTAAAGCGCCTATCCTGGCCTCATTCTGCAGGTAGAGAAATCGAGGCATATAATATTTGCTTTCAGCTAGCCTCGAGTCTTGACCTGCTAAATCTTCCGTTTGCTGCAAACAACCTTGCCTGAAAAGGAAACCCTGGCCCAATTGTCTCCCAGGTTCCCCCTCCTGTGATATCTGGAGGGCAATAGGACCTGGGGAGGTTCAACCCTGCGGCCAAGGGAGACACACCTGCCTAGCCGCGTGGGTTGAGCTAGTGTGGGAGCAAGCCACTTAGCTAGCTTTGGAGGGCGGAGTAGAAGGGGATGTCTCCTGCTCATAGGAAAGAGGAAAACTGTGGCTCCTTCCTGGGTCCCAGGGTCGTGGTGAGAAGTGCTCCTGAAGAGTGCCCCAAGTTCTTTTTTTGTCGCGCCTTTCCACACGGAGCATCACTTCACCTGTCGTCCTGGAACTCCGGTTCGTTTTGTTTGGTCCCATCTGTCCCTCCCATTTCCCTCCGCCTCCTCCCTCCGCCATCCAGGTGCCTTAGCTCCTGAAGCCTCTGACCTTTTGGCCCCGGACCCGCGGGCCAGACAAGACCCCGGCATCCCAGGGCGTCCAAGAGTTTGGCGACGTCTGCCTGGCCGCCTTGGCGCCCAGCACGTGTGCCTTCTACTAGGAAAGTTTCTCTGCAGAGAAGCCTCTCCAGCCGTTTCTTGATCCTGTACCGCGCGCGCGCACTGTGCTTCTCTCCCTGGAGACTGCGTTTGGGGACTGAGTGGTGGCATTACACCTGTCCCCGGCCCTGCTCTCTTGGGGGCGGGGTTTGGGAAATCCGTGGAACCATCCACAGAACCCTTGCCTCGGCGCGGATCCTGAGAGAGTGCGGGTGAGCAGGCGAGTGGGCGAGCTGATAGCCACAACCTAGCAGTAGGTACCTCGACGCTGAAGGAACCCCCCCAGCGACGCGCAGGCTGCGCTCCGTCTTCTGCCCTGGCTCGGTTCCCGCTGACTTGAGAGGGCACACTGGCCAGAATTCCTCATGAGGAGCTGCTGAGTGTTAGTGCCCTAAAAGAGTGGCAACTCCCCTACCCGGGGGGTTGCAAAAGGAGCCGCTGCGGAAACAGCTGTTCCCATGTCTCTTCACACGCCTGGAATGGGACTCCAGAGTCGGCGCAGGGATGCTTGCTTTTGCTTTGTCCAAGTTTCTCAGCATGTACGTTGATGATTGGATTCCTGGGCCAATCAAGAGTCAAGTTCAAAGTGGTATTCCTGGGCTCTCCATCTCAGACTCCAAGTTGAATTGAGTCTAGAAGAGAGGGCTCTGCTGTTGTAAGGAGTTGATCTATCTCAGTTCAGGAGCTCAACTTGACAGAGCCTATTGACTGATACTTGGACTGCAGTGGCTACAGGGCACTGTTGGGGATGGGTGGGGAAGTGCTTTAAACACCAGACCTCAACACTCAGAACCTTCACAATGGACAGAGTATATGAAATTCCCGAGGAGCCAAGTGTGGACCCGGTTTCATCTCTGGAGGAAGATGTCATCCGTGGGCCCAACCCCCGCTTTAGCTTTCCATTTGGTATCCTCTTCTCCACCTTTTTGTACTGCGGGGAGGCTGCATCTGCCTTGTACATGGTGAGAATCTATCGAAAGAATAATGAAACCTTCTGGATGACATACACCTTTTCCTTCTTTATGTTTTCATCCATTATGGTTCAGTTGACCCTCATATTCGTCCACAGAGACCTGGCCAAAGATAAACCGCTGTCATTATTTATGCATCTAATCCTCTTGGGACCTGTTATCAGGTGAGCACTTTAAAAAATCTCTGCCCACCCCCTTCAAACTTGTACAGAAAAAGATGAAACTAATATTTACATGACTAATACTGTGTCTCTAATCTGATTGATTCTCTCATTCCCTCCCACTCTTGGCTTTCCTGTCTATCATCCAAAAAACTTATCTGAAATCTTAACTGCCACCGTGATGAACATGTATGATGTACCAGTGTTCCAAAACTGTGAATACCATCAATAAGACTTAATTAGACAATTCTTGCTGCCTGGGTTTGGGTTGTGAAAACTGGTATGGGATCAACAGGTATAGTCACCCTGTGTACTCAGGTTATAAGCTATGGAGTTATTTATTTATTTGTTTATTTATTTATTTGTTGGTACTGGCACTTGAACTCAGGGCTTCATGTTTGTTAGGCAGGCACTTTACCACTCAAGCCATTCTGCCAGCTCTTATGGAATAATTTTTTATGGTGCTGGGGATCAAAGCCAGGGCCTTGGGTATGCTAGGCAAGCACTCTGCTACTGAGCTACACCCCAGCCAGACTGTATAATTTATCTCTTAGATGCTCTGTACATTGGATGAAAGTTCTCTCCTGCCATCTCGCCCTATGGCTTCTTTACTTTGAGCTGCTTGGGTTGGTCTTGCTGCCATTTTCAATTTTTCCAGCGTTGTTTGACATGTGAAAAATATTTTAAGCTCTCTGTAGGAATCTCATACTCCAACACAATTGTAGTTCACTTTTCTCTATCAGTTCATTGGCCTCCTGTTTATCACTTGTTTCTGCAATAAGAGTACACAGTTGGGAGGGGGCAAAGGGAGGTAGTCCATCTCTACCTGGATGCAGTAGGAAATGTAATAGTATCAGGGGCTTCCATTCAGGTTACCTTGAGGGGACAAGAATGTGCTTGATTGTAGGGAGACCGGCATCTGTGTCAGTAGTCTCCTCTGGATGCTATGGGGTTTTCAAGGTAGAGAAATGTTGCAAAACATATGAGGTCAGGAAGGAGGAATGGACCAAGTTTGTCGTGATTGCAAGAGAGGCAAACACATGCAGTCAGCTGAGGAATATGGGTCAGAGTGTTGATGTTGTAATTGCAGTGGCAAGGTAACTCATCGTTCGAGAACTAAAAACAGGCTCTGAAACTGATTAAGGATGGAATTTCCCCCTTTATAAAACTTGTTACCTGTAAATATATGTGATTTGTATTTGTCAATTATACTTCCTAAAAGCTGGAAAAATTGTTTATCAATATAATTTTAAATGGAGAGGAATTGATTAGGTTCCATCACAGAAATGGGATATCTAACGAACAGTGACCTGGATTAGGAGACCTGGAGTCTAGCCCTCCCTCTGTCATTGACTAGTTGTGTGGTCTTAGTAAAATCTCTGAAGATGCTTTGGGCCTCAGTTTCTTTATTTGTAAGATAAATGGATTGGGCTAGATCATGAGTTTCAAACTCAAATACTTGCACGGGTCAGACAGGTAATGTAAATGAGTAAAGTAGGCCAAGTGTGAGAAAACTAGTAGCCTCATGTGTGATGATAAATGAAAACAGAGTCAGTGTTAATGAAATGAAAGGGGAATAATGAGTACCGGGTAATCTGGAATCCATGACTTACCTGTAGTAAAGGCAGCCACTCACTTCAAAAATTCCTGTGTTGGAATTCAGACCCAGTATTGTTAAATTCTCTAACTTTTCAAGATAAACTCCCAATACAGAATTTCATATGCAATTTCATGATTTTAAATTTTGGCAACTGAGTAAAAACAAAGAACAAAAAGGCAATACTGCATCTGTTGGCCAGCTATGACTCATCTGGCCATATGCAGTTTTTTGTCTGAGTGATCTAAAGGTCCTTTCCAGTTCTAAGTCTTTGAAGTTAAACTGTAAAAGGAATACCTCATCTTGAACTTGGAACCAAGAAATGTCCAGATGCCACTAGAGGATCAAGGGAACCATTCTTCTCTCCTTTTCAAATGCAATATATTGAATTAATCAAGAACTTTCAAGATGCAAATTTCAGCAAGTACCCAGCCTCCAGTTTAGACTTTCTTTTTCTGTTTTGTGGTTTCCACGCTGTTTTTCATTTGGATGTTCTATATGAAATGTTCACTGTTTTTCATTTTTGTCATTTAACTTGCATGAGAAATGATTGGAAAGCATTTACACCCTCAGTCACCTAAGCCCACAGCAATGAAAAAAATAATTAAAAACTCATAAATTATGCTCTTTATATGCTTACTTTCTTTCTTCTTTTTGGGAAGGAGGGTTTTTTTTTTCTTTTTTTGAGACAGGGTCTAGCTATGTAGCCCAGGCTGGCCTCAATCCCCTGCCTCAGCTGCCCAAGTGCTGGGAATTACAGGTTTGGGCCACCATGCCTGTCTCTATATGCTTATTTTCAAGCCACTTACCTTTTAGGTGGGTAGGAGCTTGATTAGTGCTATTAGGAACATAAGGTGTTTGTATGGCCTGGCTCCCTTACATGAAATGCAAACATTTTTCTGAAAATAAGGATGTACTCTGACTTACTGAAGCTTATAAGCAAGGCAAACAACCCTTACTTAAGGCAGTGAATAGCATTAAGAATAGAAGCATAACCAGAACATTCCATGCCACCACCAACCCCCCAGTGTTTTGTTCAGTAATAGCATGGGTAGGCTTAGGTTAAAATCTAAAATCTTTTGTTGAAAAAGCACTTACGCATTTTCCCCTAAATAGGAAGAAAATGTTACTTTTTTTGTTTGTTTTCCTTCCTTGTTTTTCTCTCCCAGGTCTTAAGAGTTTGTCTCTATAAAGTGGAAATTTCTAACTACGTATTTTGGAGTGGTATACATGAGCGAATCTTAGGGAGATCCTATGGAGAATGGCAGCCAGAACATGTTCCAAACCTTCCTATCAAGAGCCAAGGCCTAGAGAGCATATAAATCTCTGTTTGTCTTTCATCTATTTTTCTGTTAAATCACATTCTATTATACTCTCCTATCATTTCTCATTCTGTCTTTTTTCCTTCTCGTTCTTTCATTCAGCAAATGAAAGCATAAATAAATATTCAGCAAATATTTATCAAATTCCTACTATGTGAGAAGGGCTGGGAGCAAGATAAATACAACCCTTGTCCTCAGTCTATTGGGGAAGATGTCTTAATTTCCACCACAAATATTCTACTTGTCATAAGAAATAGTACAGTTTCCATTTACCTCAGGGTGTGTGGAGGAAGTGGTAACTCAGGCGTTCCAAAACAAGATGTTCTAGTTGCTTCTCTTCTATTCACCACATCGGAACTGCTGGAGACTTCTGATTTATGTGGGAGTTGGGAGGGATACAGTAGGAAGTGTGGTCTCATCAATAGTTCCAGGGTGATTGGCTTTCCTAAGGATGTTTTCCTCTTCGTAAAGAAAGAATTGGATTTAAAATGTAGTTGTCCTCAAACAGGTTAAGAAGCGCAGAAAGAGATGCTTTCTTGAAAGAGAACCTAAAAACCCAATTCTGGAGCTGAATGCTTTGATTAAAGAATGCTTTAATAGCAATTTAAGGTGTTAGGAAAACCAGGGCCTTTTGGAACCTTCATCCTTCTCTCTGAACACAATATTTCCTATATTTCCTAAATACTTTTATGATCAACGTACCATTTTATAACACAGGCCTATTGTTAAGGAGACAAAACCATTCTTCATCCTCAAAGAAGTACTTCTGAAATGATGTTCTTAGGTTAGTAGTTGACCAAACAGAACAGAACATAGACTCAAGTAGCTTGTAGAGGTACGGTCAACCCTTTCAATCCTGTAAAATGAGTAGAACAGAAGAGAGGAAATGGCAAATAGCACAACTGCCCCAAAATTTCCCCTCTTATTACAACCTCCTTTCCCAGGACAGCTTTAGTTAAGTTCCCGTGATGCTTTACTCCTGCAGATGTTTGGAGGCCATGATTAAGTACCTCACACTGTGGAAGAAAGAGGGGCAGGAGGAGCCCTATGTCAGCCTGACCAGAAAGAAGATGCTAATAGATGGCGAGGAGGTGCTGATAGAATGGGAGGTGGGCCACTCCATCCGGACCCTGGCTATGCACCGCAATGCCTACAAACGAATGTCACAGATCCAAGCCTTCCTGGGCTCAGTGCCCCAGCTGACCTATCAGCTCTATGTGACCCTGATCTCTGCAGAGGTCCCCCTGGGTAGAGGTGAGTGGGGTCAGGAGAGGGGAGGGCTCCACTTATATCAAAGGACTTAGAAGTCTGGGCCTGACTTGTCTAATACTCTGGCCACTAGCTTTATGTGGCAATTTAAAGAAAAATTAAATTTAAAACACACTTCCTTAGTAATACTGGCCACGTTTCAAGTGCTCAGTAGTCATGTGTGGTTAGTAATTACTGTTTTAGATGGCACAGATTTAGAGCATTTCCATCATTACAGAAAGTTCTACTGGACGGTACTAGTAGACAGTCAAAGAACTTAGGGAGCCAGCAACTCAGACATGCCAGATATCTTAAGGCAGGGTGAGGTGCTTAAACTAAAAATGTCACAGGTAAACTCTCTCTCCCTCCCCAGAAGAAGCCAGTAACACCAGAGGCCAATAGTATGTTTTCCCTTGTCCAGAGTATTTAAATTATGCTGCTCTAGTTGTTTTGTTTCTTTAGGGATGGCCGTCTTTAAAGAAGAGGTTCCCAAATATTACTGAGCATCAGAATCATGTGTTAATGTTCTTTTTAAGATTATATTCCCTCCCCAAATCTGACTCAATCCCAGAATATGGACCAACCAGGGATCTGCATTTTTAAAACATGCCCTAGTTACTTCTGATCAACCTTATTAGGGTATCACTGATTTAATCATTTCCCCCAATGTCAGTGGAGAGAAAAGGGGTGTGGGATGAATACTGATGAGAGTCAGCCCTAGTTCAAGTTCTGACCTTCATTGTGATCTTTGGAGGAAGTTACAAAGCAGTCACTGCCATAATTGCCCTCTCATAAAAGAGAGATCTTGAGATGAGTAAAGACTTTTAGCAGAGGATGAAATGTGAGTCAGTGTTTCCAAAGTCAAGCTAAAGTGCTGTTAATGACTTTGAACAGCCTGAGATTTCCTTCATCTGGTTGGGCATAAGCTGTTTCAGTGGGTACAGCTTTGGACCATTTCCTTCTAATTAGGTGCTAACCCTGTTTGCTTAAGTCCCCTATCTCAAATAAATGCAAGGGGGGAAAATTTGTCCTCTTTTATCTTTTTTTCCTCCACTAAGAATTTTCCTGAAGTTCTATTGATCTTGAAGCCTTTCACATATGTGGAATTGACAGTAGTTGAGGAGAAAAGTTTCTGGAAATGATGATGCTTTTCCTCCTGAGAATTTTAAGAATAATCAAATAATTTAATTAAAATATGTATACATTACAAATGTAATACATGCACAAACTGATTGACCCGGAGGTAATTCTATATGCACAGAAAATTTCTGGAAAGCTGTGAAAGAAACTATCTCTAGGGAGCGGGAATGAGAAATCAGCAGACTTACACTTTTTACCTTAAATTCTCCATATAAAATTTTTACTGTGCTCATACTATTATTTTAGTGCTTATAGTTTTTAATTATAAAATTCAGATATAGTTATGGTAAAAATTCACAAACACAGAGAATAGATATAAAATATACATATAGAATAGGAAATGTTATCTCACTCCCCAAAAAGTAATCTCTGTTAACCATTTAGTATCTGTTCTCCCAGACATGTATTTTTACTATGTAAATATAAACATATATACAGCATGTATTTGTACACGTTTTTGTCCCAGAATGGACTGCATGAAACATTCTGTTCAACAACATGTATTTTTCAAAAGTATACTCATATTTTTCAACAGTTCTATGTATATATTATAAATATAGAAACTATATTTCCCTTATATAAGTTGGACCATTCTTTTTCTTTTCCCTAATTTTTTTTTAGTATGAGTAGAGTTTTTGTTTCAAATTTTTCACAAAAAAGTTTTTTTATAGTTGCAACTTATGCTACAGTTAACATCTTTGTAAATGTTTGTGTAAGTGAATGAGACTTTGTACAATAAATATATGGCAGTAGCATTGCCGAGTGAAAGGAAATGTATGTTTTATTGGTACTGCCAAGTAATCATCTTCAAAGGTTATATGAATTCATAGTCCTACACAGTATATGAACATTTCTGTATAGTTGTAAATAATTGGCTTTTAATATAATTTGCTTGCTTTGTGACTGAAGCTGAGCATCATTTCATGTTTGATTGTTGTATATGTTGTATGAATTGCTGATTTATATATCCTAGTCTCTTTTTCTAGTGAGTTTACCTTTTGTATTAATTTACAGGAGATATTTACTTTTTTCTGGCTATTAATCCTTTCCCTACTGTGCACGAGTATACATTTATATAATTTTGTGTTTACATACACACATTTTAAATATGCATATCCATGACATACATGTAATATGTGTATAACATCTATACTTAATATACACAATATACTTTGTAATATCTTCTGGCATTCTGAAGTATTACATTTTTATGTATTCAAATTCTTTAGTGCTTGCTTTTAGATTTTGTGCCTTTCTTACAAAGATCTTTCACAACTATTTTTTTAAAAAACATTTTATTAGCATATATTAGTTATACAGGGGAGTTTCATTTGACAATTCCATATATGCTCACAATGTATCTTAGGTTCATTTCCACCATCATTCTCCTTCATTCCCCCTCGCCCCTATTTAAAATGATTTCTATAGGTTTAAAGGTTCTTTTTCATATTCTTTCACAACTCTTATCTGGTAGAGCATTTTACTCCAAATTTCCAAATAGATTACATTCCAAGATCAATTTGTCAATTCTTCCACCAACAAAACATAACAAAGTGAAATAATAGCAACAATAAAAGAAAAACATTTCATTGAGATTGTGATTGTGATTGCATTAAATTATTTAGGTTATGGAGAGTTTATAATATTGATCAATCTCATATTATCATGAAGACGATAATTTCCATTAAATATTTACAAATGTACAGTTTTCTTGCTATAGATTATGCACATCTTTGTAAGGTTTATTTCTAGGTGTTCTATCAGTTCTTAAATGAACTTATTTTCTAAGAGCCAAGATAGTGCCCAGGTAAAGTGAGTGTACTTTTGGAAATAGGGGAGGAAGAGAAGGAGGAAGGAAAGAAGCTAGAAGCTAGTATTTACTAGCATCCAGGAATTAAGACTTTACATGTAGTTATTTCATTTAATCCTCAAAACAACTCTATGAGGTTATTGTAATCCCCATTTTACAAATGAGGAAACAGAGGCACTAAGAGGTTAAGTAAATTCCTCCAAGGTCCTATAAATAGTAGAAGGCAAAGATTGGCTGGGAATTCAGAGTGTCTGCCTCCAGAGTCCATGTTTCTAACATGGGCAACATTTTGATCTCTTATGGTATGAATCTATTTGTAGGGAGAAAGATGGAAAATGTTTTTACATTTGTTGGAAACATCAGGTTTTCTTCCTTCTATTACACTTTTATTAATAAATGAGTTCTGATTTAAGAGAATTAATTGCCCACCTTGCAAGCTGTACACTTTGACATTCCCAGCTCTACAAAGAGCATCATTTCTTGAGAGCTAAATTCTCAAAGGTTTAGAAAGTCCAGAGTAGCCACTTGGGATTTGCAGCCTTTGAGATTCCAACACTGTTCATTACAGTTGAAGAAGACCTTAGAAACAGAGCCATCCTTTCTTTTGGATTTTCATGAAGAAGGCTTCCCTTTTCTTGCAGACTATGTTGACAAACAGCTCCATGTATCTAGTTTTCCTGGATCCAGTGTTTTGATGGGATGAAAATCACTAGCTTTTCTTTTGGATGGGTATTCCTCAGGCCTCCCACTTTTTTTGAGAGCTCTAGATTTATTATTATTTTTTAGTAATCAATATCATTTGATATCAAAGGAGAAAAGGAAAGGGTCACCTGTACAATCTATAGTGAGGCTTAGTTAGAGCAGGTTAGGGAGCATCCTGGCCCTTCTGGGCTCTTCTCTAGCATAGTGTATGGATGCTATGGCCTGGGAAACAGGATTTTAAATTTTTGAACCACTCTGCTGAAGTTCAGAGATCCCCAAAAACATGGGGATGGTGAATTGACATCACTGATGACAAATACAAACAACTCTAGGATATCTCATTGAATTGGGAAACTGAGGCACGTAGATATTCAAGGATTTCCACAAGCTCCTACATAGCTAAACCAAGGATTTCTAATCCTAAGTATTTCATGCTGCTGCTCCAAGCTCAGAAGTCTTCATTAATTCCACAAACATTTATGAGCAACTACTGTGTTCCAAGCAGTGTGTTAGGCTGTGAGGATACAGCAGTGAACAAAATAGACATGATTCCGTCTATTCTTATAGAATTACCAGTACATTTTTTGAAACATGCAACTGGAGTTAAACATTCTAAAAGCACACACTGACAAGATTAGTTCCTTGATAAAGATATGTATCAAAGAAGGAACTTAAATTAGAAAAGGCATTCTCTATAAGTCTCCCAAGGTTGGATTTTTTCAGACATGCTTTTTTTCTACCTCATGTAATATTCACTCAAAAGCCTGTTTGATCATATGATACCTTCATATGTATTGTTCTCATGCTAGTAACTTCTCAATGCTAGTTCTATGACCTGCTCTTTTGTAAAAGTTTATTTTGTATATTTATATGATTATTAAAGTGTCACAGTGTACATTTATCATGGAAATTTAGGAGACGAAGTATAGAATAATTTTTTTATTAATTTATTTTTGTGGTGCTGGGGATTGAACCCAGGGCCGTTTGTATTCTAGGCAAGTTGTCTACTACTGATCTACATCTCCAGCCCAAAAGATTTAAACACTGTTACAAAACCCTATCACACAAAAGAAGATATTTTGGGTTATTTTTTTCCATTTTCTTTCTGTGCTTGATATTTTGTTTTATTGAATACATTTCTGGTCTACAGTGCTTCCTCATGCTTGCTAGGCAAGTGCTCTATCACTTGAGCTAGGCTCATAATCCTTTTGTTTTTAGTTTTTTAGATAGAGTCTTGCACTTTTGCCTGGGCCTGCCTCAGAACGCCTATGAGCCTCCTATCTTTGCATCCAGTACTTGGATTATAGGCATGTACCACCACACATGACTTTTTAATATATATATATATATAATATATATATATATATATATATATATATATATATATATATATAGGATTTTGCTGTGTGGTAGAGGCTGTGTTGTCCAGGTTGGCCTCAAACTTGCAATTCTCCTTAGCCTCCAGAGTGCTGAGATTGCAGACATATACTACCATGCCTGGCTTACAATGTGGTATGTGTGTATTATCACAACCAAACTAATATATTCATCACCTCACATAATTACCACTTGTCTGTGGTGGAACACTTAGATCTACTCTTTTTAGAAAATTACAAGTATGCAATACATTTGTATCAACTATAGTCACCATTCTGTGCATTATGCTTATTCATCTTATAACTGAAAGTTTGTACACTTTGACCAGTCTTCTCATTTTCCCTGACTCCCAGCCCCTGAAAACCATTGTTTGACTTTTTCTGTCAGTTCAACATTTTTAGATTCTACATATAAATAATACAGTAGTTATCTTTCTGGGTCTGGTTCATTTCACTAAGCCTAATGTCCTCTTGATTCATCCATGTTGTTAGAAATGACAGAATTTCCTTTATTTTATGGTTGAATAACATTCCATTGCATGCATATACCACATTTCCTTTATTATTTATCCGTCAACAGACATTTAGGTTGTGAATAAAGCTATTATGAACATGGGAGTGCAGCTATCTCTTTGAGATACTGATTTCCTTTCCTTTGGATATATACCCAGAGAAGGATTGCTGGATCCTATAGTAGCTCCATTTTAATTTTTGAGGACCCTCCACACTGTTTTCCAAAATGGCTATATCAACTTACATTTCCATCAACAGTGTATAAGCATTTCCTTTACTCTACATCATCGCTAAAATTATCTTTTTTATCATGGCTGTCCTAATAGGTGTGAAGTGATATTTCATATTTTTTAGCATGCTGGGGATGGAACCCAGGGCCTCACACACAATAGGCAAGGGTTTACCACTGAGCTATAACCCCAGGTCTCACTGTGATTTTGTTTTCTTTGATGATTCGTGATGTTGAAAACCTTTTCATTTATTTGTTGGCCATATGCCTGTATTCTTTGGGAAAATGTCTATTCACGTGCATACTGTTTGTTTACATAGCTGTGATATACAAAAGTTTGCTCTTTTTTTTTAATTAACCAATCAATTTAATTGAGCAATACATGTTATGTACAAAAAAAAGCAGGGAAGAATGAATGCATTTGGGGAAAATGCCATGAAAATCTTTTGACACTAGGAAGGTAGCTTTTGGTTACTTTTGAAAGTTAAAATTCTGTGAAACACCCATGTACTGTTTGTATTTGACCGTTTTCTCATAAGAAAATAGGTTTTAATTAATAAGCATGAATATTTTCTACCTACCAATCCTACTTTGCATATATAACTACAACCTAAATAAGTATTTAAATGACATCTTAATTGTTACTTGTTAATTTCTTCGTGGTGCTGTAGATCAGACTTGGCCTTATGTATGCAAGGCAAAAGCTCTATCACTGACAAACTCCCTAGTCCTTAAGTAATATTTAAAAAAATCATGGTTCAGTAATTAATTAGATGATCCATATGTTTGGAAAGCAGGTAAGAGGCTGGTTATCCCATTTCCCATTTTTTTTAAATATAGGCTGACTTACTAGAATTGAATTTACTTCCTGAAAAAAAGTATAGGGTTAACTTTATAAAACTGATACTTCATAGTTGATAATACATGCCTCCAGATTTAACAGAAAGACAAATATTTGGGAATCACTGCCTTTGGGATATGGATTATCTTCTTTTGTTCTTGTATTTTAAATCTGTCCATCATGACTATAAGCCATAATTACAGAATTCATCTTTTTTCCCTTCATGATTTTTGCTTAATTATAATTTTTGCTTCAGTAGGGTTATGTGCCACTTTTAGCCTTTAATTTTAAAAGAAGTAATATACATTCATTAAATTGTTCCTCTATGATAAGAAAACTGAGGTTTTACATATTGATTTATTCATCAATATTTGAGCGTCTGTTTTGTGCCAGTTCCAGAGACAGTACTGGGGACAGTTTAACGGACAAAACTACCAGCCTTTCTGGAACTTACATCTGTGGTAGGGCAGGGATGGAATAATATTTTACACTAATAAAATGCTTTATGTGTGCCAAGCACTATTTGAACACTTCCCATATATTAATTCAGCTAATACTTCACAGCATCTTTCAAATAACAATGTTATTTGTTATATTTCAAATAACTATTGTTATTCCCCATTCTATGAAGAAACAGATTCAGAGAGGTCAAGTAATTTTTCCTTGGTCACACAGCAAGTTAGTGCTAGGGCAAGGTTTCAAATCCAGGCAGTTTGACTCCAGTGCTGTACACTTATAATCATTGAATGTGTTGTATACCTGTGTTTTGATTCTGCAGAAAATTTTAAATCATAGCAATAGGTGCAGAATAAATTATTCAGTAGAGAAATTTTACTTTTAAAAATCAAATGGTTAATTTGCTAATGGTAACAGTAATAAAATAATTTATCATTTCAATTCCAGAAAATTTCAGTTTTTCTATCGGTCAATATGTACTGATTGCCCAAGAAGAATCACACACAAGTCTCTCCAACCTAGCCTTATGTTACTGATTAACTAGAATTTCAATGACCAGTCTCCTGAAAGTCCAGGTTTAGTAGCTTCACTTGAGATTGATCCATTCATATTTCTCAGGATTATTGTCTTTCCTGCTGACTAACAAGGATCAAGAGGAACATGAACAAAATTATGAAGTCAGTGGATTTCTGGGTCCCCCATCCTCCCTACTGGGTGCCTACTGCCTTGTTTGTTTCCACTCCTTAGAAACTCCAGGATATCCCCGGGCACTTCCTCTCATGGTGGTTATTGTTCATCTCTCTGGTACAAGTCTTTCTATGCCACTGAGCATGCCCTTCATATCCCCAGCCCTTCGGGAGTACTCATCATTAGTAGAGGTTAAAATTGATCAATTCATAGTCTAACGTCTCACACACGCCCTTTTCGGTCTTCCCATTTAAATTTGTCATGGGAGGTTTTGAGATAATGCCTTCATCCTAGGGAATCTACTGGCAATCATTTGTTCCTAGGGAGCCCCAAATAATAATCTCTGCAAGCTACCAACTCTGAACCTGTGATTCTGTTTTTTGAGCAAGAATGGAAAACTACTGTTATTACATTAATATTTTGCTTATTTTGTTGTTAGCTTCTTATGGGTTTGCCTTTGAAAACAAAGTAGAGACTTAAAAGATATGAAATCTGAGATTGGCTTCAAAATAATTGGAGTTGGGAAAGGCAAAGGGAGTTATACACAAATCCAGATTGGCCATGCATTCATAACTGTTGAAGATGTGTAATGAGTTATTACAGGATGAATCATATAACTCTCTACTCCTGTATATATTTGACACAAAAGTTTACTCTTAACCAAGCCTCTCAAGTCCTACTTATCATCTTTCTGCACCTCTGGGTCTGAGTACAGGCTTTATCACCAACGTTAACTGATTTCCTCCTCTGTTCCTTGTTTTGTTTTTACAGCTGTGCTAATGGTCTTTTCCCTGATATCTGTCACCTACGGAGCTACCCTCTGCAATATGCTGGCTATCCAGATCAAGTACGATGACTATAAGATTCGCCTTGGGCCACTAGAAGTTCTTTGCATCACCATCTGGAGGACATTGGAGATCACTTCCCGCCTTGTGATTCTGGTGCTCTTCTCAGCCACCTTGAAGTTGAAGGCTGTTCCCTTTTTAGTGCTCAACTTCCTGATCATCCTCTTTGAGCCTTGGGTTAAATTCTGGAGGAGCGGTGCCCAGATGCCCAACAATATTGAGAAAAATTTCAGCCGGGTTGGCACTCTGGTGGTGCTGATTTCTGTCACCATCCTCTATGCTGGCATCAACTTCTCTTGTTGGTCAGCCTTGCAGTTGAGGTTGGCAGACAGAGATCTTGTTGACAAAGGTCAGAACTGGGGACATATGGGCCTGCACTATAGTGTGAGGTTGGTAGAGAATGGTTGATCGATGCCGTTGGCCGGAGCTGATCAGTTTGGTGTTGAGGGAGATGGTGGCTTCGCAGGATGTTGCGTTCGTAGACTGTGAGGGTGTTCGGTGGCTGATTTTGGAGGGGTTTGTTATCGTACTCTGTATTGGATCCTTGTGGGGTGTTGTTAGGTTTTATAGTTGGTTCTTGTGTGAGGCTCAAATAGGTGTTACTAGGATCTAGTCCTCGCCATTCCTTGATCGCCTTGCAGCTCATTATCGCTTATCTGATTTCCATCGGCTTCATGCTCCTTTTCTTCCAGTACCTGCATCCATTGCGCTCACTCTTTACCCACAATGTAGTGGACTATCTCCACTGCGTCTGCTGCCACTGGCACCATCAGGGAAGGACTGAGAACTCGGAGCCATCCTTTGAGGCTGAAACAAGACAAAGCATTGTCTGATTCTATCTTCTGGATATTATAGGATGGGTTGGGGGTTGCCAAGAGCAACTGTGAAATTGAAGGAGAAGGTGAGACTCATGGATGAGTACTCACCAGAGTATTTTCTTGAGTTTTCTGGTAAACCTGTCAGAAAAAAAAGTGACCCTCAAATAGGTTTCACTTCTTTAATATTTACTGCTATATTTGGATACCAGGCATATCCATTGTATAGTTGGAAGGGTCAGAAATACTGTTCACACCCCTTCTACCCAAGTCAGTTGGGATAACTTACCTCTAAGCACCTCGGGCTCTCTGTGACTTTCTAGCTCTGTTCATTTGCTTGAGGCATTACTAAGCTTCCCTGGGCTGAGCGGAAGACTGAGAATCCCGCCAGAACATATCTTGACTGATCAGAGAATGTGTCAGTTTATAGCTAGGGGTACCTTCCAGGTAACAGTCTATTGTAGAACCTGCAACTATGAGTGTGACTGGGGATTTTTAAGTTCTAATGAGAAGCCTCTACCTATTAAAGAAGAAAAAGCCTCCATTATTAACAAAGAGCTACTCCCCAAATGAGTTAACTCTCCACTGGGATTTTTCAGATGGTCATTCAGCAAGGATCTCTTTTATTTTTCAGCAGACCTTCATAGCTGCACCTTGCAGAGGAAGTACAGAATAGGATTCCTTCAGGACGGAAGTCCGAATGAGTCTTCTCAGGGATCTGTGTGAACCTCTAGCTTTTTAAGTGGAATGGTTGAGTGAAATTTCACTCAGTGCCTCATTAACAGGGATTCCCTCCAACCCAGCTTTTCTGTGTTCTTGGCATTTTGCTATTTGATGTGGACCTCCGAGAAGCTGAACTGTAACTGAAAATGTTTCTAATATGTGCAAGAAATGAAAATTGCTTTGTGTCTGATATGTCCTGAGTATTTCATTGATTTGGTTTTTTAGGGGAGAGAGAAAGCGATAATGGCTGGGATGTCACCTTCATTTTATCTGGAGTTGGGATGAGTGGCTGACACACCAAGGTAGAGGTAGAGTGAAGGTGGAGGAGGGAAACCAGATCACATTAAATTATTATCAGTACTGATTTCTGCCTGCACGATTTTACTTTCTAAAAAGGAGCACAGATTTGTCTGCTACTGATCATTTCCATACCCCCAAATGGAGAACACATGTCTCTTTCATGTGACCAAATGTTTACATCTCTTATCAGTTGGATATTTTAGTAGGCCTGGTAGCTGGATGCCTTGAAGGTAACCAAAGAATTGAGGTTACTATGGCTACTGCTTATTGAAACCAATTATCCCAGCATTTGCCTAATGAACTCTTGTCCCTCAGAGACCAGGAAAGTGAGATGAACTCTTAGAAGTAGGTACCAGTTATAGCCACCACAATGCTTCAAGAAATTGTAAACAGTCTCACCTAAGGCTTTCCACTACCATTCAATTTTACTCTTGGGATTATGCTAAGAATTTATGTTTAGCCATTTCTTTTCCTCTTCTTAGTGTCAGGACATTATGTTGGAGGAGCTCCCTCTTCGAAATAGTGGGTTTTAACCATAATTATCCTGTTCCCTGGCATATCTAGTGTTGTTGTCTCAACTTCAATTGCTGTTTGGAACTAAAAGGATTGGCTACTTAATTTGGAGGAGAACATAATGGCTGGCTTTAGAGTAGCTGTTTTTCTTTTATAACCTCAACTTCTTCATACCATTTTTCATGATGAAGAGACTTAGACTGTTGTTGCATAAACCTCACACTGACTTCTATTATTTTAAGGGGAACTTGAAAGAAATAATCTATCAGACCCGCAGAAGAACACACTGCCTTTTTGGAACTCAAGCAAAAATTTCTCCTCAGGGGTCAACACGCCCCCTCAGTTAAGGGCAGGAGCAGCATGGAACAGTAACTTGGTGCACAAAAGTCATGTGAATGAGCTACTGAAGGGAAGAGTACTATGGAAACATGGAAAGACACATACACACTGAGTCAGGCAGGCCAATTAGAGCTAGAGTGGAGACGCACAGGGCAGACAAGAGTGCTTCAGTATTGGGCCAGGCACAAATTTCCTCCCACATGTCCTGCCAGCCTCAGTGACTTAATATCCTAGGAATGCAGAGAGTTTAAGGACAGGGATGTGGAGTAGCTTCCAACCTGAAAAACCTGCTGCCCTTGCCCAAGGAGAAGAGACTCTAGTGATGCATTAAGCAAATGAACCCTAGACTTCCTGTAGTTCTTTCTGTTCCACACAAATCTTCTAGACACAGACAAAGGAACTATGGAATATGGGGTGGTGGGCAGGGGAAATATCTCCTTCCATTTGCAAGCACTTATTTTGTTGACTAATCTCTTTTTGCCCTCTGAAATATTTTTTCTTGGGGTAGTGGGATTTGAACTCAGGTCCTCACGTTTGCTAGAGAGGTGCTCTACCACTTGAGCCATGCCCCCAGCCTCTTTTTTGTTTTTAGTTATTTTTCAAATAGGCCCTTGCAATTTTTGCCCAGGCCTCCCTGGACAGCAATCCTTCTACTATGTTTCCTGCATAGCTGGGATCACAGGTTTAAGCCACTATGCCTGGCTTATTTGTTGTGATGGGCTCTCCATAACTTTTTCCCCAGGCTTCCCTTGAAATTCAATCCTCTGTCTCTGGAGTAGCTGAGATTACAAGCCTGAGCCACCTCACCTAGCCCACCCTCTGAAATCTTAAAGCAACATGGGGTACATATTGTAGGGATAAGTCTTGCTAAATAGAAAGGGAGGCCAACATATGGTTTCATGAAAAGGAAGGGAAAACATGATTTTGGAGAAAAGAGCTAGGTTATTGTAACAACAGCAATTGTATTATTGGGAATTTGGTAGGCTAAGTATGAACAAATTAGCATGTTAGGAAAAAGTAGTAAATGAACTAATAGTTGTTGATTCCATTTGCTCCACACACACTTAAAAGATTATGGGCATGGAACTGTGAGGCACTGTGGAAAAATTAAATAATAGCTTAAATTCATGAGCAGTTACTATATGCTTGGCACAATACTAGGTGCTTAACATACATTATTTTGTTCAATCCTCACAACCATCCTGATGAGGTAGGTATTGCTATTATCCATCATATTTATAAGTAAAGACTCAGGCACAGAAAACTTAAGTGACCTGCTCAAGGTCGCAGCTAGTCAGAGCTAAGGTTCAGTCTTAGGCCCACAGGTGCCAGAATTTATGTGCTTAATCATGACCCAAGTCTCTAAGTCCTTTTAGTTCTTTGTGAAATTATTTTATCATGGTATTAGTTTCAGGAATATTTTCTGAGCTACAACTGGGTTCATGCCATACATTCTTTCCCACAAACACTTCTTAGTAGAAGATACCACTCAATTTCCTCTAAAGAGAGAAGGGTCAAGTCCTAAAAAGTCTGAGATGAAAACTATATGATCACATGCACTTTTAGGTTAACACAAAGGGGGTGGGAGGATGAAAGATAAAGGGGCCCATTTCCTTTCTAGTATCATGACTTTTTCTCATGTATGTTCATAAACACACACCTTCCAAACCCTGGTTGTGGGAAGAAAACTGGAGGAAGCAATTGCTACTTAGGCTTGTATGAACTCTGATCCCAGAAGCAATCAGGGCAGTTCCTCTTGCAAACACTGCTCTTACTCCTGCTTAGAAGCTGACTCCTAGTTCTAGAGCAGGTCAGGGCAAGTGGAGAACAAGACCCCTCCCTCCCTCTGCAATCATAGTCCCAAGAGCCTAGGTCAATCTTTGGTTCCCTTTCAGCTAGCCTTCTCATATTGCCACTTCTCAGGGTAGGGTATTCACCAGAATGGTCCATCTAAGACCACAGAGCTCTGTAAGAAATCCTTTAATATAAAATCAGTTGATTCTGGATCCTCCAAAATACATTCCAAGAGTGGAATCTCATTCTTTGAAGCTTCTGCTATTGTACTTTCTTATTATATTTAGAGAACACATGACTTTATGTCATAATCTTATGTCTTTTCTCTTGAAATGGTTGGCACAGTTAGTCTCACACTTTAAATCTGAGAGCCTTGGGCATTCATAGTGAAAGTATGTTATGGACCTTGGCAAGAGAGCATATACCATGTGAAACAGAAGTAATGAGTTCAACCTGTGTTGAGATATGAAAACTAAGCATGAAAAGAACACATTCTAAGTGTGAATAGCACTTTATTATTTACAAGGCACATTTACACACATCTGTAACTAATGTACCATTGTTAGCACAAGTCATCTGAGTTGTTCACATGGATTTGCATTGATCTAACCTTCAATTCACTAAATATCATTAAGCTTTTATTTTTGTACCGGGAAAACCTATATGGGTATCTCAAAGTTCTATATAGATGTTGAAAGACTCAAAAATGAAAGAAAAAACAGGTATCCTCAATTGCTATCACTGTAAAATATTGGCACATATTTTTGGAAAGTAGTTTTGTCAATATTTGTCAAGGTTAAATAGGCATGCATTTTGTCTCAGAATTTAATCTCTAGAATTTTTTTTCCATGGAAACATAGTCACAGAAACATATACAAAGACACATGTACAGGGATGTTCATTGCACCACTATTTATACTGGTGCAAACTTGGTAACAAATTGGGGAAATGATTAAATTCTAGCAATTACATAATTGGAATGCTATCTAGCCATTAAAAAGAATAGGATAGATGCAGACAGCTTGTGCCAAGTGAAAGATAAGTGACAACAGCAAGTTAAAGGACAAAAATGTTTAAGATGAGGTTATAAAGCATCATTCAAAATTTCAAAACAGGTCTGATAGAAGAATAATGTTCTCCAAACCCACTCCCCAAAGATAGCCACATCCTAGTCCTCAGAACCTGTGAATGTGTATGCTGCATGACTGGGAGATTAAGGTTGCTAATAAATTGAAATGGGTTACTTGGGTATTCTGGATGCAGTCACAAGAATCCTTATGACAGAGAAAGTGATATGAAAATGAAGGCAGAGATTTCACAGTTTGTGGTATTTGTTACAGCAGCAGTAGGAGATAATACACAAGGAAGAATAATTATTTAATGCTTTAATGTCACATTAAGAACATTTCCTTTGTATTGAATAGCCTTTTATTTTAATGTATTTACTTATGCAAATGTACTCCATTTGAAAAGGCAAAAAAAAGAACATTTGTAACAAGGCTATCTGAGAATCATCTGACTCTGTAGGTTTAGCACAATTGATTTAGGATTCATTCATCTTATAATTCTGCAAAACTGATATTATCTTCTGCAGTGATATTATTTTCTTTCCACTGGGGTGTGGGGGTGGTGAGGGTTAGGGACAAATAGGTAAACCACTGAGGTTTTCCAGGACGGTGAATACTCTGTGTGA